ATTTTGTGTCTTACATGTATCACATGTGTCTGCATTGTTACCTCCATGGTTGTTGGAATGTGCTAATCTGTGACTGTACCATCTGCACTAATTCTTTCCTGTAATCTTCTGTTGTTATGGGGGTGGATGGTAAAAATTGCCCTACAATGTGTACCATGTATACAATTTGATGACATAATCTGACATCGCATATATTTTTCAATTTGGTGGAAGGTGCAGTGTTTATTCCGATTCACTCAGCAACCCGGCTTGCAGAGCATTAGGAAAGATGGTGTTTAGAAGACTTTCTCATTGTCACCTTATTTAATGAGTAGTTGACACATAGGATAAATATTACATTGTCAGAGTGCTCTCCCACATTGCAAGTATTCACAATATGCACTACAATATAACCATGGATGCAGAGTTTTGTTAAGTTCTAGTGTAGGCAGGAGGAGGTAGGAGGCTAAGATGTGCAACTTTTCTTTATAAGTCTTAAAAAATTTGTTATACATACACTTCTCTGATGTAATAATTTCGGTAAATAATAAACTTTGTCACAGGCTCCTAGTTTTACAATGTGACCAATGGTTAAATGATTCTAGAAAACAAACTTCTTCTTGAACATCGTTAAATCTATCAAAGCTATTTCAACTGTAAGGTCGCTTGTTAAGCGTTTTATTTCATTTTTTGGTAAATTAATTATTGTACCACAAATCATGTGACATGCTGTATTTATATATGGTATTGGTAGAAAATATCAGTAATACAGAAAAGCATACCCCCCGGTAGTTGCTGTCATGCAGCAAAATTGTCTCATTCAAATAATTTAATTTTTTGATATTCTTGAATTTAAGAATCCTGAAAATTATGTTGTTTAAGGAAGTGACAGTAACTGGATATCCTGATATGAAATAAAACTTAATTTTATTATGAAACTGACTTAGCATATTCTGAAAAACAGTTTCAGTACATAGTAATTATAGAGTGACTTAATTTCCATTCCATTAACCAAGAAGATAAATTTACATTGCTTGATAAAAATGTAGATGACTTCTTGACTTTGAGTTCCTAATAGCTGCTCATTTGCATAACTATTTCAATGTTTAAATGTGTACATGTGCACTGTATGTGAAGTTGTTATTGAATGATCAAGGCATAACAGGAATATTCTTAGTCCAAAGTAATTGTGAATTGCTCCAGGAGTGTGCATAACATGCAGTAATGCACGATAGACAACACTTATTGAACTTGTAGAACTTGCTGATGAACTAAATGTTTGTCCCTTAGAGCCTGACGAATATTGATTAAGCACCATTGTACTGTGCATTTACATTTACCAATAACACTTTTATTACAATAAAGATACCTACCATTTAACTAAAAGAGACAGAGAATTGCAGATACAAGCTGCAATGACAACCATTTGATTGGTTTCTGATTTCATAGACAAAGGTAGAATATGGGAAAACATCTAAACCTTTGTTATCCGCTATATATCACTCTCAACATGAATTCTTCTAGTATCTAGTATATTGTTTTGGTGAGTCGCTTCCCTTTCCTGAGCTACACTTCCTGGTTAATGGCCTCATGAGAAATCTCATTCTTGCTTTTCTTTCCAAAAGAAGTCCCTGAATATTAAAACCATGATCAGCCATGATTGTATCACCTCACTCAACCAGTTCAAGAAAACCACTGCTTATTGTAATAAATTTGTCAGACATTAGTATTGAATTCTTTGTTTTTATAAAACGTGTCAAAGGTTTAAATAAATGTTTTTTAATTTATGGTAAAATGCTACCTTTTTGCCAAAAACTGTAGGATTAAGTTAACTGAAAAAAAGATTAACTGCATTCAAAATAGTCATTCAGAAAATGCTTGTGTGTGTTTCCTCCTTTAGATATTTCTACAGTACACTGATCCAGCAAAAATGATTTATGATTTTATGTTTTTAGCTCCGCTGTCGACTTTATCGAGCGGAGCTTATCATATGAGCGATTGTCCGTCGTCGTCGTCGTCGTCCGTGTCAATGTTTTACTTTTTTGACTTCTTCTTGAAAACTACAAGCCTGAATGCTTTGATACTTGGTGTATATGTACCTTGGGTAGACCTCTCTTAGGTTTGTTCATTTCATGTTGATATCTTCAATTCTCTAATTTTGGTGAATATTTTTGTCATTTTTGGTAAAAAGTGATTTTTTTGACTTCTTATTAAAAACCGCAAGTGCAATTGCTTTGATATTACATATATAGGTACTACATGTGGACCTCTCTCAGATTTGTTCATTTTGTAATGATATCTTTAATTCTCTAATTTTGGTGAATATTTTTGTCATTTTTGGTAAAAAGTGATATTTTCGACTTCTTGTTAAAAACCGCAAGTGCAATTGCTTTGATATTACATATATAGGTACTACATGT